GGGATCAGTGCCCAGCTCTGGTCTCGGCAGGCTGCTTTCACAGAGGCCCTGGGTTTGCTCTGCAGCACCCACACGGCAGCTCACAACCATCTGGGACTTTATTCCCAGGGGATCTGACGCCGTCTTCTGGCACTACGTGTACAGGGTGTACAGACACACAGGCAGGCGAAATACCCATACACGCAACTTTTTAAATAGTTTTCAAAATAATTTTTCCATGTATTTATTTGGTTGGTCGGTTGGTTGGTTTGTGGATTGGTTTTTCGAGACAGGGTTTCTTTGTGTACCTGGCTGTCCTGGAACTCACTATGTAGACCAGGCTGGCCTTGAACTCACAGAGATCCACCTGCCTCTACCTTCCAAGTGCTGGAATTAAAGGTGTACACCACCACCACCTGGCCCATTATTTTTATAGGGGAGGACATATATGTGGAGGTCAGACAGAATGACATGCAGCAGTCAGTCCTACCACGGGGGTCTTGGGTATTGAACTCAGGCCATCATGCTTCACCATAGGTGCCTCTACCCACTGAGCCATCTCACGGGCCTCCAAATACAGTTTTCCCTCTAAGATAAGGTTTCTCTGTGTAGCCCTGGCTGTCTTGGAACTCATTATGCCTTCGAGGCCAGCCTGGGCTACAGAGTGAATTCCAGAAAAGGCTCCAAAGCTACACAGAGAAACCCTGTCTCAAACAAACAAACAAAAATCATGTGCCAACAGGCCTTAAAGGGCCTCAAAGATAAATTTTTTTGAGAAACAGTGCCTACTGAACACACGCCAGACATGCCACAGAAAGACTAGTCATCTCTAAGGCCCTAAAAGAAAGCATATGCACGTGCATTTCCATGTAAGCTAGGGATAACTGGAGGCAGAGATGATGACAGGAGTAAGATCAGGTAGGATGACAAATGGACCACCTACCCGACCCCAGAGTTCTTTGCAACACTTCTGCTGCACCAGCCCATGGTGGTAGCACACACTTGTGATCTAAGTACCCAGAAAGCTAAGGCAAGGAGATAAGAGAGTTCCAGGCCAGTCTGGGCTACAGTGTGAGATAAGCACCCCCACCTCCACCCCCAAACAACCCACACACATACACACAAGAAACTGAGGCCAATGACATAGTCCAGGGAGTAAAGGAGGTTGCCGCCAAGCCTGATATCCTGAGTTTAATGGCCAGGCCCCACATGGTGGAAAGAGAATACCAACTCCCATAAAATTGTCCTCTGTCCTCCACATGTACACAGGTGTGCACTCATGCCCGTATACACACACACACACACACACACACACACACACACACACACACACACAGGCAAAACGCTTTAAAAAAGTCCAAGCTGGGAATGGTGGTGCATGCCTTTAATCCCAGCACCCTGGAGGCAGAGGCAGGCAGATCTCTGTGAGTTCAAGGCCAGCCTACAAATTGAGTTCCAGGACAGCTAGGGCTATACACAGAGAAATCCTGTCTCAAAAAACCAAAATCAAAAAACAAATAAATAAAAAGTCAAGCTGGTACACTGGGGAACACCTGTAATTCTAGTGCCTGGAATGCCAAAGCAGGAAGATCTTGAAGTCGTCTTCAGCTACACAAGTGAGTTCCAGGTCATCCTGTACTTGGATGTACTTTGTACATGTCTCAAAAATAAATTAGCTGGGCATGTGGCTCAGCGGGTAGAGCATTTGCCTAGCATGCATAACGGCCTGGATTCCATTCCTTGCACTACATAAACTAGATTTGGTGGCGTATACCTGTAATCCCAGCATGCAGGAGGTATAGGCAGGAAGGTCCATTCAAAGTCATCCTTGGTGATACACCAAGTTCAAGGTCAGCCCTGGAGGATAAGAGCTCCAACCTCAAAAACAAAACCAAACCCCAAGATACAACTCTAAATCCTCCACTTACTCTTGTGTGGAGAGAGAGAGAGAGAGAGAGAGAGAGAGAGAGAGAGAGAGAGAGAGAGAGAGAGAGAGATCTTCACTCTAATAAATTTCCAATTCCTAATTTTGTCTCTGAATTCTTCGATGGAGGTAAAAGCAGAACCTAGAAACAAGTCTAATTCTCACCCTGGTCTGGTCTTTTACTCTTCTATCGTTTTTTAAAAAATTTTTTTTAAACTGTGTCTGTGTCCGAGTATCTGTGTGTGTGTGTTGAAGTCAGAGGTCAGTGTGCAGGAATCCATTCTCCTCCTGTAGGTTCCAGGGACTGAACTCAGGGTGTTAGGCTTGCCAGCGAGTACCTTTGCCAGCTGAGCCATAGTCTCACCAACCCGGTCTACTTTGTCACCTCCCCAGGCTTTGCTACCAGTCACACTTCTAGACAGCACTTGAGGATCAAGGACGTCCCGTCCTCAGTCGGCCAAGAGTCTAGCTTGCTCTAACTGTATTGTAGACACCTCGCATCATGCGGTAAGACAGGTTTATAATCCTAGCACTTGGAAGATGGAGACTGGGGGCGCTCAGGAGTTTAAGGCTAGTCTCGGCTTCACGACACACCATCTCAAGAAGTCTGGACACATCAGTCTTGGGCATGCTAGGTGTGGTGGTTTGAAAGAAAATGCCCCCCCAAGAGGGAGTGGCACTATTAGGAGTTGTGGGCTTGTTGGAGAAAAATGTGTCACTGTGGGAGTGGGGGGGGGGGCTTTGAGGTCTCCCATGCCCAAGCTACACTCAGTGTGGCACACAGTTCACTTCCTGTTGCCTTCGGATCAAGATGTAGAACTCTCCGCTCCTTCTCCAGCACCGTGTCTGCCTGCACGCTTCCACGTCCCATCATGATGATAATGAGCTAAATAAACCTCTGAAACTTGACGCCACCCCAGTTAGATGTTCTCCTTTATAGAGTTGTCACGGTCATGGAGTCTTTTTACAGCAATAGAAACAAACCCTCAGACACTAGGCAAGCATTCTGCTCCTCAACTACAGCTCCAGCCCGAGCCAAGCCATCTGAGCACCTGCCTTCAATGTGACTCCCACCAGCTGCTGGATTGGAGCAGCTTCCGGTTCCTGTAAGTCTGTGCCTAACAAATGCTCATTTGGCCCATTGAAGCCCCGAGCGGCACATCCAGTTACCGGAAGAGCCGAGACGCTGCTGAGCCTGGTAGTGTACACCTGGAGTCCTAGCACTCAGAGACAGAGGCGAAAGGGCAAGGAACTCAGGGTCGTCTTCAGTTATGCAAGTCCAAGGCCAGCTGGGCTATGTGAGAGGCTATTCAAAAAATGAAACGAGGATTTAGGCTAGACACGAACCGCAGCTCAGTGGTGGGGCGCTTGCTTAGCATGTGCGAGGCCCTGGATTCAACCCACAGTCTCACAACAATAAAGGCTGGGTAAGGTGGTAGTCTGCTCCAGTGGAGTTTCAAATGCTGAAGAAGGGAAGCAACTGTTCCCACTGGAGATGGGGGTGAACCGGCGTAGGGAGAATAAAAACACTGAGAAGCTGACACAGCTCTTCCTGATGTCATGAGACCAAAGGAAATCCCAGCCACCCTTTCTGAGGCCTTCAACCCCCACAGGGATCTCCTCTCAGAACCCACAACTACACACCCCCAAAATGCTACTCCACACACCTTGGTCATCACCCAGAACTAAAATTATCAGGACAACCAAATTGGAGCAGTTTTTTCTGCTTTGAGGTTTTTTTTGGGGGGGCGGGGGGAAGAGTGGGTTTTGAGACAGTTTCTCTGTGTAGCTTCGGAGTCTTTCCTGGAACTCATTCTGCAGCCCAGACTGGCTTCCAACTCAGAGATCCACCTGCCTCTGCCTCTGCCTCCCGAGTGCTGGTATTAAAGGCGTGTGCCACCACCGCCACACCACCCAGCATGCTTTGAGTTCATTAACTACAGGGTTTTTAAGGTTTTTATTTTTAAATGTGTGTATATTGAGTATATGGTATATGTGTGCAGGAGTCCGTGGAGACCAGAGGAGGTCATCACGTCTCCTGGAGCTGGAAGGTACAAGTGGATCCCATCAACTATTCTGTGAACCACCTGATATGGCTGCTGGGATCGGAAATCAGGTCCCCTGAAGAGCAAGCAAGCGCTCCTGACCACTGAACTAGATCTCTAGCCCCTATATTTATGTTACCAGTGTTTTGCTTCCACATTTAAGTATTGCATTATGTGCATTCTTGGTGCCCATGGAGGTCAGAAGAGCATATTGGATCCCCTGTAACTGGAATTCTAGATGGTTGAGAGAACTGTGTGGATGCTGGGAACTGAGCCCCTAGTCTTATACAAGAGCAACAAGTGCTCTTAATCGCTGAGCCATCTCTGTTTGGATTTTGTTTTTGGAAAACAGGGTTTCTCCAGGTAGCCCCGGCTACCTTGGAACTCACTCTGTAGACCAGACTGCCTCCTGAGTGCTGGGATTAAAGGTATGCACCACCACACACACACACACCCCACCCCACCCCCTGGGTTTGTTTTTTTTTAAAAGTCAAGCATAGCATAGGAAGGCCTCTGACTTTCTACAAAACCAAGGATGACCTTGAACTCCCAATCCTGTCTCCACCTCCTAAATGTTGAGGTGAGAGGCATGAACCACCACTCCTGGGGCTTTGGACAAGCAATTTTCTGTCTGCTGACCTGAAGAGGAGCAAGCCGCCCCCTTTCCATCCTTATCCCATTGGAGTCAGATCCGTGGGGCCAGTGCTAAAAGATTCCTTGATACCCTAAGAAGTCTGTCTGGCTGGGCCTACCCAGCTCTTTCAACAGCTCCTGTCTCCATATTGATCTTATTGGAGTCACATCATACAACTACTCCGGGATAGATGTGCTGTCTAATGCTGAAGTACACATGTGTGTATGTATACTAGCCAGCTTAGCCTCTCCATCTAGATGGCGGCTCACTGGAGGTCCAGCTGTTACTTACTAGATTACGTTATTGGCACACATGTGATAGGTGACAGTCTAGTTCACCCTCCCCCATGTAGCCACCACCAATCCCACACTCCACCTCAAGTACAGGCACTAAACCACATTCAGAACTGGATCTTTTATTATGAAAGGGAGGCAACATGGGAAGTGGTGTGACACTTCCTGGTGACACTAAGGACAAGAGCAGCCAGGGTCAGGAATGCCACCGCAGCTAGGCCTAAGCCAAGAGCCACAGAGGTTTGAGCAGAAGAGGTCCAGCCCTCCACAGCCTGGTCGCTTGCCTTTCCCAGGAAAATCAGGGGTCCGACAGTGACATCAGCTTCATCAGTCACTGTAAAAGAACAGGACATGGGGAAGGCTTTATGCTTGGTGCTGGAGAATCATACCGAAGTCCTCAAGAATGCTAGCCGAGAGCTTTGATGAATCACACCCCCAAATCCCTTACTGAGGGATTCTAGGCGGGTGCTCTACCACTGAGCCACACCCCAGCCCCTCACTAGGGGATTCTAGGCAGGTGCTCTACCACTGAACCACACCCCAGCCCCTCACTGAGGGATTCTAGACAGGTGCTCTACCCTGAGCCACACCCCCAGCCCCTCACTGGGGGATTCTAGGCAGGGGCTCTACCCTGAGCCACACCCCCAGCCCCTCACTGGGGGATTCTAGGCAGGGGCTCTACCCTGAGCCACACCCCCAGCCCCTCACTGAGGGATTCTAGGCAGGTGCTCTACCACTGAGCCACACCCCAGCCCCTCACTGAGGGATTCCAGGCAGATACTCTACTGCTGAGCTTTTTTCCCAGCCTTTGATGTTTGGTTCCTTGAGTCAAGGTTTCCCTACGTACCCCAGGCTGTCCTTGAACTGTGATCTCTCCCATCTTAGCCTCCCCAGGGCTGGGACGACAGATGTTAGCCACTCTTGGCGTTCAAGTTGAGCTTATTTCATAAGTATCATTTTGCTCTGCCTCGGTGGATTGAATGGGGTATCACTGGACCAGCCACATTCTCCCCACTACCCAGTAACGTACTGAGACAGTCTCAAGGTGACAGAGATACCCCACACGCTACTGGGAAGAGAGGGTCAGCAACCCTCCCACTTGAGACTCAAGATATTGTCAGGTCCCAGAAGACACTCCCTAAGTCAACCATCTTGATGGAGGAAAAGGAAGAAGTGACAGCAGGTGTCTTAAAGAGGAAGAGGAATAAGCAGCTCGTGCCTGTGACATACCGTGCCTGCGGTTTCTAGAAGCTGACCGGGGCCACTGTTTGTCTCCATGGGCCTGGTGCTTTGAATTGTTCAAACTACTACAGTCGCCCTTCACGCAGCAGTCACAGATGGCAGCGTCGCCCTCTACTGGCAGCCAGCTGAGAGGCGAAACAGAAGGCTTAGCTCTGGTACGCAAACATCTCCCTGTTTGCAATTGTACATTTGAAGAAACAGACACGCGGGGTGCCTGAGGGCCCCCACACCCACAGTCTGGTCCCCTCACCTGTTGGAAGTCCTGTTGTAGGAGCAGGCTTTATTGAGCTCATCTGGGGTCTGGTTGGCCGGAGTGACTTTGAGATGACAGGTGATATAGATCTGAAATAGTCACGAGCAGGCGAGTTAAGATGTGTCAGTGACTTTTTAAAAATATTTTAGGAAGCCAGGTGTGGTGCTGCAGCACTTAGGAGGCAGAGGCTGGCAGATCTGAGTTTGAGGCCAGCCTGGTCTACAGAGCTAGTTCCAGGACAGCCAGGGCTACACAGAGAAACCCTGTCTTGGAAAAAATAAATAAATACTGGCTGCTCTTTCAGAGGACCCAAGTTCAGTTCCCACCACCTGCATGGCTGGGATCTTTTGGCCTCTGCAGGCATTGCATGATATTTACAGACATACTCAGGCATGCACACATACATAAAATATTTTGGTTTTCTGAGTAAAATAAAATTTAAAACTGGTGAAGGAGAGGTGGCTCATTGGGTGAAGGTATTTGTCACCAAGACTAATGACCTAAGTTTGAGCCCTGGACTCCACATGTGGAAGGAGAGAACTTCCACTAGATGTCCTCAGACCTACACACGAGCGCACACGCACACAGGAAACGGTGCAAAAACATTTTAATTAAGCCAGATGTGGTAGCCTACACCTTTAATCCAGGCAGAGGCAGGTAGATCTGCGAGTTCAAGGCCAACCTGGTCTACATAGCGAGCTCCAGGTTAACCAGGATATATAGTGAGACCTGACTCAAAGACAGAATGAAACAAAAAATTTAATTAAAATAACTTTTGGCCATAATCTAAAAAAAATCCTTTAAAAAAAGGGGGGCTGGAGATATAGCTTAGAGGTTAAGGGCACTGACTGCTCTTCCAGAGGACCTGAGTTCAATTCCCAGCAACCACATGGTGGCTCACAACCATCTGTAATGAAATCTGGTGCCGTCTTCTGGTCATACATGCTCTATACATAATAAATAAATCAATCTTTAAAAAAATCCTTAAAAATAAATAAATAAATCCAAAAAAAATCCTTTAAAAAAATAACTTTTGGCTTGATTCATGTTTATGGATCGTGTGCTGGGGAAGGGGTGGGCCTCAAGCCCAGAGCCTTACGTATCGATGGAGCACTACTACGGAGTTCTCTGCACAGCCCAGCTTTTGCTCTTTTGAGGCAGCTCCCATAACCCAGGCACAATGGGTCCTGGAAACCAAACTCCAGTCCTCCACAAGAGCTTAGTTGCCGAGCCGTCGATCTCCTCAGCCCTGGGGGTTAACTTCTGTTGTTCTCTGGGGAAAGACAGGGTCTCACTACATGACTCTGGCTGGCCTGGAACTCATGCTGCAAACCAGGCCGGACTCACTCGAACTCAGATCCACCTGCCTCTACCTCCAGAGTGCTGAGATTAAAACAGGTGGGTGCCACTCTGTCTGACCTAGTTATTTAGGGTTTGGTGTTTTTATTACTGTGTGTGTTCCAATGGGATGTATGTCTGCACTACATGCATGCTTGGTGCCTGAGGAAGCCAGAAGAGTGTTGGATCCCCTAGAACTGGAGTTACAGATGGTTGTGAGCCACCATGTGGGTGCTGGGAATCAAACCCAGGTCCTCTGAAAGAGCAGCTGGTACTTTTTTTTTTTTTTTAAAAAAAAAGGTGACTTATTTACTTATATTTTATATGCATTGTTTTGCCTGCATGTATGTCTGTGAGAGTGTTGATCCCCTGGAGGTAGAGTTACAGACAGTCGTGAGCTGTCATGTGGGTGCTTGGAATTGAACCCACGTCCTCTGGAAGAGCAGCCAGTACTCTTAACCACCAAGCCATCTTTTCCAGCTCCCATTTTATCCAGTTCTCAAGTTTAAGTCCCACAAACCCTTATCCATGAGGGCCTTGCTGAGCCCACAGCTTGTTACTTTCTGTTTCTAGCATGGTAAGTCATTTGCTTAAAGGAAGCACTTTTGGTTAACAGCAGAGAACATTAAGCCAGACTAGGGGTTCAGGCTTATGCTTGGCTGTTGAAAAATGCCATTACCGTATTTCTGGAGCTGTTGGCAAAATGGAATACATCCACCGTGAACTGGAGGGTCTCTGGCCGGGGTCTAGGGGCTTGAAATGCAGAAAAGCTCTCAGATAGACCATCCACAAGGCAACTTGGAAAGGAAGAAGTGAATGGAGTTAACCTAACTGCTAGATCTCATTACCAACGTTCCCTGGAAGCCAAGTGTCTGTTTGCTTTCTCTGTGGTGATAAAAACTGACCCACAGCAATGTAGGGAGCAAAGTGTTTGTATAGCTCACAGGTCACAGTTCATCATTGAGGGAAACTGAGGTGGGAACTCAAGGGACCTGGAGACAGGAACTGAAGCGCAGACCCAGAGGAAAGTGACTTACGGCTTGCTCAGTTACATTTCTTATATAGCCTGGGTCTACCTGCACCATTGCCTGGCTCCTCCTACATCAATTAGTAATTAAGAAAACGCCCACAGACATGCCCACAGGCTAATCTGATGGAGTTACTTAATGGAGGGGCCCTCTTCTCAGGTTATCAAGTTGATAACATCAGACAAAATGTCTCACGCTTGTTATCCCAACACTCCAAAGACCGAGACAGGTTTTTGTTTTTTTTTTTAAAGACTTCAAAGTAGAAGGTTGCTATGGATGTCTTTCTGTATGCTGTGAATATCTGTTGCTCTGATGGGTTGATAAAAAAAGCCGTTTGGCATATGGCAAGGCAGGCGGGAAATCCAAACAGATAGACAGGAAGAGAAAGGAAAGGGGAGGCAGACGTGAACCACTGTCAGGAGAAGCAAAATATAAAGTTATCGGTAAGCCACAAGCCACGTGGCAAAGTACAGAATTATAGAAATGGGTTAATTTAAGATATAAGAGCTAGCTAGCAAGGGGCCTGCCATAGACCATGCAGTTTGTAAGTAATATAAGCCTCGGTGTGTTTAATTGGGTTCAAGCAGCTGCAGGACCGGGTGGGACACAGGAAAACTTTCAGTTATAGAAGGTAACTTAGTTGTGAGGCCAAAGGGATCAGCTGGAGTGTGGAGCAAGAGAAGGTAGTGAGGGGAAATCTGATCAAAATTCACCCGTATGAAAACGTCATAATGCATCCAATTCATATAACGTATGATAATGAGATACTTAAAAAACCAAGGGGAAATAAAAGGACTCCCTAGGAAGGAGGCCAGGTCTCACCCGTGGAAGTCCACGATGACATGATAAGGAGAGGCAGTCTGGTCTGGCGAAGGTGTGGCCACACAGTGGTCCACAAACAGCTGCAGTGGCGGGTGGCTTCCGGGCTGGACTTCTGCCTGGAGGTGGGCTACCTCTCCCAGGTGGAAGGTGGGGGATGGTTTCTCAGCATTCCAGTTCTCTGAAGGGGTAGAGACAGGGCCTAAAAGACTGCCCAAAGGTATCTGCATCCCCCCCCCTCACCCCCACTCGCGCCAACTCCTCCAAGCCTTCTGACTCACCCTCCATCAGGCGGAGAGAGAAAACCAGCTTCTCCTCTGAGGACACAGTGGTGCTGAAGGGAACCCAGGTGGGCCGGATAGCGTGGCTGCTCACATTGCCCTGCCTGCAAGAGAAACCACAGCTGCTTCCATATAACTCCATCCTGGCCCAGTTTGTGTGGGGTCGGGGTTACCACACCCCTGCTCTTAATAAGTTCTTGGATGAATCAACTAGGTAGCCAAGGCCAAGGTCCCCAAAGGTTGGGCCTGTTCCTTAACCCCTCTGAAGGCCCACATGAAAGCAGCCAGACACTCCAACCATGGGGACAGAGACCAAAGCATGGAGAGACACTTCTGAGGGTGTGAGAGAGATCTGGGGGTAGAAGCTCCATTAGGAAGCAGAGATCTGGCCTATCATCTTAGGTCCTGGTGAAAGACAGACAGAAGCCGGAAGTGGATGAACCCAGTGCTCGGGAGGCTGAGGCAAGAAGAACAGAGTGTGCCATTCTGACTCCATTTTTAAAAAGGTGGGGTGGGGATATAGCTGATCAAGTGCTTGCCTAGCATACATGAGGCCCTGGATTCATCCCGGCACATCATAGACCACGTGTGGTAGTGCATGCCTGTCATCCCAGCACTCAGAAGGTTCAGACAGGAGCATCACAGCTCAGAGCCACCTTAGTCTACAAATCAAATGCCAGGCTAGCCAAGTATACATAGTGAAACCCTGTGTGAAAAAAAAAATGAACAAAAGCTTTTTAAAAAGCTGTGCATAATTGTGGTACAGGCCTATCATCCCAGCATGCTGGAGGTAGAGGCAGGGGGATCGCTGCAAGTCTGAGGCCAGCTTGAGCTACTGCCTTTGAGACTGCCTCAAAACACAAACGTTAAGAACAACCAGCGGACCAGTGAAGTATCCCAGTCTAGAGCCCCCAAGAAGTCTGAGCCGGGCATGATGACCCATGTCTGTAACCCCAGAGCTGCAGAGACTGAGGCAAAAGGTTTGTGAAGAGCCAAGGCCAGACTGTAATACCGTCAGGCAAGTTCAGCACTTGACAGATTGTCATCTATAAAGTTCACCTACAAAGTTCATACTCGAAAATTTAAGCTCAAAAAATTTTTTTTTTGCTGGATGGTGGCGCATGCCCTTAATCCCAGCACTCGGGAGGCAGAGGCAGGTGATCTGAGTTCGAGGCCAGCCTGGTCTACAAGTGAGTTCCAGGACAGCCAGGACTCCACAAAGAAACCCTGTTTTAAAAAAAATATATATATAAACGCAAAACACACACACACCCCTTTTTTGGGGGGAGGTGCTGTGATTTCTTTTTGGTGTTTTGAGACAGGGTCTCACTATATAGCCCTAGCCCAGGCTGGCCTGGAACTCTATGTAGACCAGACTGGCTTCAAATCAGAGATCCTCCTGCCTCTGCCTCTTGAGTACTGAGCTTAGAGACATATGCCTCCTTGCAAGGTTTCCTTTAATGTTTTAAATGAGTTCATGACCTTGTGGTGGGCTATATTATATCCATGGCTACTGTGGGGCACATAGCCCACACAAGTCTGGGACACACACACACACACACACACACACACACACACACACACACACACACGGACACGAGAGAGAGAGAGAGAGAGAGAGAGAGAGAGAGAGAGAGAGAGAGAGAGAGAGAGAGAGAGAGAAGCAGCCATACTGCCTCCATCCTGCATCCCAGCACTTATGAGGCCGAGATAGATCACCAAGTTCAAGGCCAACTCATCTACAGAATTCCAGGTCACCCTGTGAAAACACAAAATGAAGCCAGGTCTGCTAGCACACGTTATAAACCCAGCATTTAGGAGGAGGAAGAGGTAGGGGATGAGTGTAAGCTTGGGCTTCATGGAATCCTGTCGTAATTTCATCTCTCTCCTCTCCCCGAAAAAGGCAATCAGTCCCTTAGTGCACACCTGGCCTCAGACTTTCCTCAGCAGGACGCCATTGGCAATAATCACAGCTGCAAGCCATTTCCTCATCAGAGCGACAAAGGCAGGTCTAATGGCAGGCAGCCAGATCCAACCCCGGAACCCAGCAGCCCATCCCACACTGACCTGGGGTAGCGGCAGTCAATGGGTACCTCCACACGGTTAGTCCTCAGGATGGACAGGCCACCCACAGGGCGGGGGTCATGGAACAGGAAGGTGCTGTACACCAGGGCATCGTCTGTCACCTGAAGCAAAGTCGTAAGGGTTTTTGTTTTGTTTTTCGAGACCGGGTTTCTCTGTGTAGCCCTGGCTGTCCTGGAGCTCTCGTAAACCAGGCTGGCCTCGAACTCAGAGATCCACCTGCCTCTGCCTCCAGAGTGCTGGGATTAAAGGCGTGCGCCACCACCAGCCCGTTGCAAAGTTGGAATGTTAACCAAATCCAACCCACACATCCTGGGGATGCTTGCTTGGCCGGTGGGAGGTTTTAGGGAATCCAGCCTAGGGAGGCAGACAGACAAGGCTCCGTTCAACCTGCCCTCTGCTGGCCAGTAAAGGAGTAAGAGGGAGGTTGGGGAGAGAGCTCAGTGATTAAGAACATTTGGGTTCAATTCCCAGCACTCACATGGCAGGTCACAACTGCTATAACCCTGGTCCCAGGGGCTGCAACCACCCTCCATGGTGGACGTACATACAGGCAAAACACCCACATAAAGATCAAGCGTAAAGCTTTTTTTAAAAAAGAACTTGAGGGATGAGGGGGTTGGGCACACCTTTAATCCCAACACTCGGGAGGCAGAGGTAGGCAGATCTGAGTTCGAGGCCAGCCTGGTCTACAGAGTGAGTTCCAGGACAGCCAGGGATACACAGAGAAACCCTGTCTTGAAAATCCAAAAAAGAAAAAAGTTGAACAGCCGCTATTAGTTTTTTGAGATAGGTTGAGCTCAGGTTGAGCCCAGGTTGGCCTTAAACTGTCAATCCTTCTGCCTCAGCCTCTCAAGAGATAGGATTACTTGAATTACAAACCAAAGTTCGATTCCAAAGTCGACTTTAGGACACCTGTGAGTTTTTTTGGCTTATGTACTAAATATGAGTGACCCCGAAGCAGCTGCAGCACTGGAAAATTACCCCAGCATGGATGACGACTTCCCCATAGCTGTGTGGAATCATCACACACCACACACACCCACACACACCCCACCCCCCACCCCGCCCCCATCTCATTCCTAGACCCTCTACAATGAAGGCAGAATTATATACAGCTAGCTGGAAGGTGCGGGAGGAAGCCATTGAGATAATATATCTCTTATTTCAAAGCTGCCAGGTGTAATGGTGCACCCCTATAAACCCAGTACCAGGGGAAGCAAAGGCCAGGGTTATACCTACAAGACCCTCTCAAAAAGTCCAAGATTGAGGGCGGGGGGATATGGGAGGCGTTTAGCTGGGTAATGGAGTAGCTTACTTGGAATGTGCAAGGCCCCAGATTCCATCCCCAGCACTGGTTAGTGATTTTCTCTATCAGTGATTAGGTCCAGGTCTTTATTTTTACTTTTTTTTTTTTTTACCCCCAAAGACAGGGTTTCTAGCCAGGCAGTGGTGGTTCACGCCTTTAATCCCAGTACTCGGGAGGCAAAGCCAGGTGGATCTCTGAGTTTGAGGCCAGCCTGGTCTACAGAGATCTAGAACAGGCACCAAAGTGCTGGAATTTTGGGCATATGTTACCCCGCATGCCTGGGGCAGGGATTTTTAATGCCTCTAGCGAGCACCTGAGCTACCTTCTGTGTTCTTTTCCAGCTCTTAGCCCCATCACCCTCGCATCCTCTTCGTGGGGAGGGACCACAGATCTCCAGGAGAACTCAGAGTCGCAATGTGGTGGTGGCACACGCCCTTAATCCTAACACTTCGGGAGGCAGAGGCAGGTGGATCTCTGTGAGTTCGAGGCCAGCCGGGTCTACAGAGCGAGTTCCAGGACAGGCACCAAAGCTACACACAGAAATCCTGCCTCGACAAACCACAGTTTAAAAAATTAATTAAAAAAAAAAAACAAAAAACCAGAGCCGATCGAGTAGACTGGTCCCAAGAACACAGCTACTTCCCCTTCTCCCCCATTCACCAGCTTCCAGCAGCTCCTGGAATTTTTCCACCTCCCTCCATCAATGACCGACCACTCCCTACTTAGAGTGAAAGGCCATCCCATCCCTCAGATGGAGCTCCTAGCATCCATTCCCCTCACCAAGCGGGGGATGCCCAGCCTCACCTGCACCCTGCTGCTGCATTCATGCAGCTGGGCCTTGAACCTGACCACATGGGTATCCACGGAAACCAGGGGCCGACAGCTTTCTGAGCCAAGGGTGAGGTCCCTGGGCTGCACGAGCTTCCCGGTGCCGAAAAGGTCTCTACTGACAGTCACCACCAGCTCGGCCTCCAGGCACTCCACCTCCACGGGTGACGTGGACCTCGCTGGGGTCGGGGTTCCGCCTGGTAAGGGCCGCAGAAGCTGGGGCCGGCCCAGCTCTATGCCTCCACACAGCAGGAAACAGAGGACCAGGCGGTAGCTCTGCCCCATGGTGCTGCCTGAATCAAGGCCGGTGCAGGGCGCAGACACTACTCAGGCATCTTATATCCTTGGATGACTACCCTCCCACCTGAATTCTCTCGACTCCCCTCAGTCTCGGGTGGAGCCCATCAACCACGCGTTAGACCTGTGGCCGCAAAACCTCATCTGGACCAATAATTAGGATCTGGTTTGTAGTTTAAAGATACCCGACGTGATTCCTAGTTAAGGTTTTTATTTATTTGGTTGGATGGGTTGGTTTTGTTATTTCGTTGGGGGGGGGGGTTGTTTTTGTCTTTTGTTTGGTTTGGTTTGGTTTGGGGTTTTTTTGTTTTTTGTTTTTTTTTTTTTTTTTTCAAAACAAGGTTTCACTGTGTAACAGCTTTGGCTGTCCTGGAACTCGCTCTGTAGACCGTGGTGGCTGGCCTCGAACTCAGAGATCTGCCTGCCTTTGCCTCCTGAGTGCTGGGATTAAAGGCCTTTGCCACCATGCTCCTATTCAAGCTATTCAAGTTTTAATTCTTTTCCCTGTGGAATTGGACACACAGCTTCCTGAACGCTAACCAAGGGCTCTAACATGAAGTCGGACCCCCAGGCCCTCTTTGGGGGACTCTAGGCAAGTGCTCTACCCTAAGCTTTAACTCCAGCCCTCTTTTCATATTTTTAATTTTTCAGATAGTCTTAAGTTGCTGGCATTGGCCTCACTCTGTGGCCTGGCCGGCCTGAGCTTTACAGTCTTCCGGCCTCAGTCTCCCAAGTCGCTGTGATGAAAGGCCCAAGGCTCGACTTGGTATGCAGGTTAAAGTCTGGTCGGCATAATTTTCGCTTTTTCCTATTCCCATCTCTTGTCCGCTGCTGCATGTAGGGAGCTCAGGGCTTGAGCTTAGAGCTATCCCAGGTCTGGGGATGTAGAGGGGGACCCTGGAGAGATACTATGATTGGAAGATGCAGGGGTTTTCTTAGAAACAGGTGGAGGGTGCTTGCCAAATGAAGGATAAAAAGGCATTAATTAGGCATCAAGAAAAAAAGTATGTGCCTGGGACCTATTCGACAGCTTGTCCCTAGGGGTGAACTCAATTGTGATCAACCCCTGCAAGTCAAAAGCAATTTAAAATCATTTGTCTACTTTATTTATCATAATTTTAATTTTATTAATTATTATTATTGGGTTTTTCTTTTTTGTTTGTTTGTTTTTCAAGACAAGGTTTCTCTGTGAAACAGCCCTGGCTGTCCTGGAACTTGCTCTGTAGACCAAACTAACCTCGAATTCAGACATCCTTCTGCTTCTGCCTCCCGAATTCTGGGGTTAAAGGCATGTACCACCATTGCCCAACTTAATTTTATTTTTAATGGGGAAAAACACCAAGTCTCCCACAACCACTAATTCTGCAGTCCAGTTTCTCAAATTTGGGGAAATTTCAAAGGTCAGAACATCTGTAGTGCAATGGAGGAAACTCTTCCTGAGAAAGCCACATTCTTGATTGTGGTATGTCCCCTACCGGGTAAATTGTGATTTTTTTGCTTTTTCAGGCAAGGTCTTGCTATGCAGACCCAGCTGGCCTTAAACACACAACAATTCTCCTGGTTTAGCTTTCCTAGTTGCCAGGATTACAGGTGTGAGCCACCACACCCAGTTTTATTTTAACTATTTTTTTAAAAAACATTCATTTATTTTGTGTGGATGGAAGGGCGTATACACATGTGTCACAGCATGCATGTGGAGGTCAGGGGACACTTTCATGAGTCTGTTCTTTCCTATTTTGTGGGTCCCTGGGATCCACCTCACGTAGTGAGGCTTGGCAGCAGGTGCCTTTACCTGCTCAGCCATTTTGCCTCTATTTTCCTATTTTATTATTATTTTTTCTTACTTTAGACAGATCGACCATGCCACCTGATTATAGTTTACTTTTTAGAGCTGTGGTCTTACTATGTCACCTGGTCTGGCCTTGAACTCTGGGCTAAAGTAATTTTCCCCTCTCAGCCTCCAGATCTTTGCCGCTCTCCTGGACTTCAACTTTATATTTTTTTCAGTGGATATATGTATATAAATTAATTTGGAGGCGTGATAAGGATGTAGCCCAGGCTTGCCTCAAAATCAGAATCCTCCCACTACTGCCTGTGAGAGTACACACCTTTAATCCCAGGGAGGCAGAGGCCTGGGTTTCTGTGAGTTCCAGGCCAGCCAGGGTTACATAATGAGTCTCAATCTTGACAAACAAAAAACCCAAAAACTTCAGGAGGCAGAGGCAGGTGGATCTGTGAGTTTGAGGCCAATTCTAGGCCAGCTAAAGTTACAAGGTAAGATCCTGTCTCAAACAAACAGCAGAATCCTCCTGCCTCAGCCTCCCGGGTGCTAGGATTATAGGCAGGCTACCGCCCTATACAGCTTTGATTTCTTGTTTTATTTTTGTGACACTGGGAGTCGAACCCAGGACCTTGTGTTGACTTTGGTTTTAGTGCATCTTGGCACAAACATCAAAGGATAAATTCTTCAGCTAAATACATCAGAGACGATGCTCAATCCATTTCTTTTTATGGGAAGCAGGCAAGGAACCTTGTTTAGGCAGAGCAGCTATGTGAGCCAAGATGGAGGAGGACATTCAGGTGGGCCTGTAGAGATGCTCAGTTAATGAAGCCCAGGTCCCTGGAGATGAGCCTAGAAGGCTGGTGAGGTGGGCCAGGCAGAAGCCTGAGGGTGTCAGGGTGAAGTGTTGGACTTGGTGAGTGAAAACATCGAAGAGCTGACATCGATAGATGATGTCATCAGCGTTGGTTGGGAAGAGGGAATGGATGTGGATTAGCGCCAGGTGTCTACTCTGCCAGTCCTGGCAGGAATAGTTAAGGGCTGGTGCTTCCGAGGAATAGGGCCCTGTCCTTGGGGCCCTGGCCTTAGAAGCTTTTTAGCCACAGCTGTGTTTGCTGGTTGTCCCTGACAGGACTGCAGAAAAAAAAGCTGGAGATTTGTGAGGCTGGGGTGGTGACACACTCTTGAAATCCCAGGACTTGGGAGACTGAGGCAGGAGGGTCATGGGTTTGAAACCAGCCTTGATTACGTAGCCGGTCTCATAAAATAAACAAGAGAAGTTGTTGAGATGACTCAGCAGATAAAAGTGTCTGCCTCAAAGTCTAAGGCTCCGAGTTCAATCCCTGGAGTCCACATAAAGGTGGGCGAAAGGCTACAGTAATTCAGAGCGCTTACTGCTCTTCCAGAGGACCCGGGTTCAATTCCTAGCACCCATATTGGGTGGCTCCTAAACCACCTGTAATTCTAGCTACAGAGAATTTGGCTTCCTCAAACACTCATTTGCACATGGTATACACTAACACACATATACATACACATAAATAAAACTTTAAAAATAAATAAAGAGCAGGAGAGATGGCTCAGTAGTTAGAACATTTGACATTCTTACAGAGGACCTGGGTTCGGTTCCCAGCACCCACATGGCAGCTCACAACCATCTGTAACTCCAGTTCCAGCCTGTATGTACGAGATACACATAAACTTATGTAGGCACATGTACACACCCATAGATCAAAAATAAATAGGGCTGGAGAGATGGCTCGGTGGTTAAAGAGCAATTGTTGCTATTGCAGAGGACCCAGCTTCTATTCCCAGCATCCATGTGGAGGCTTACAACTGTCTGTAACTCCAGTCTCAAGGGATCCAGTGCCTTCTTCTCACCTCCAAAGGCACCAGGCACGAATGTGATTTGTAGACAGATATGCAAGCAAAGCATTCATACACGTAAAGGAAAAAAATTAAATTATTTATTCTAACAAAATGAATAAAGTATTACCAAATTTTTTTAAAGGTAGGGGCTTAGGTTGCCACTCAATGGTAGAGCTCTTGCCTAGCCTTCCCCAGTGAAGGGCTGGAGGCATGGCTCAGTGAGAGAGTACTTGCTTAGCATGTGCAGTGCCCTGGGCTCCATCCCCACACTACCATTAATAAACAGATAAATAAATAAACAGATAAATAAATAAATAATACAAAAGTGAAAAAAGTTAGCTCTTATCTAAGTCATCACATTGAAATATGAAAAATGAATTTTGATTTCCCCAACCTCGATGCTGTGATCTAAGCCTAGGGCAATGCTTGCTATGTGCTGGGTGTTTCTAGAACACCTCCAGAGTGCATCAGAATGGAGGTTCATGGTGCTTCATTGCTAAAACGATTCCATCTAGTGAGTAATGAAAAAAAAAGCATTTGTTAGATCTCTGAGTTCAAGGCCAGCCTGGTCTACAGAGTTCCAGGACAGCCAGGGCTACACAGAGAACCCCTGTCTCAAAAAACCAAAACAAACAAAAAAAAAAGAAAGAAAGAAAGAAAGAAAGAAAGAAAGAAAGAAAGAAAGAAAGAAAGAAAGAAACAAAAAGAGTTGGTGTGACCAACTCTTCATATTCTAAGGAAAGTTATTTTGTGGGCTGGCATGATGGCTCAGTTGCCACCAAGTCTGATAACCTGAGTTCAATCCTCGGGACTCACAAGGTGGAAGAAAAGAACCTACTCACACAACGGTGTCCTCTGACCGCCACATTCCCCAACGGGCACGTGTGCACCTACACATGTTCACACAAATACATAATCATCTTATAATTTGTGTTTGTTGTTCAAAACAGGGTCTCACTGTTGTAGCTCTGGCTATCCTAGCACTCCCAGAGATCCACCTGCCTCTGCCTCCCAAGTGTGCGCCACCAGGCCTGGCTTCTGCGTTTGTGGGGATTGTCCTCAATTTTCCAGGCATGCACAGCAAGCATCTTCGCCCACTGAGCCATCTCCCTTGCCCTGAATGTTGATTCCCACCGCCTTTGTTTCTTTCTTTCTATTGAGAGAAGGTCTCACTAGGTAGCTGAGGATAACCTTGATCTCACCATGCAGCCCAGGCTGCCGCTCCATCACCAATGTCTGATGTTCAGCTGTCCGGACCCATTCAGGCTTTTCTGCAACCTGAGCCTGGAAGAGAGAGCTGGGAGAGGAAGGAGGGGCCACCTGGCCTCCTAGCTCCTCC